TGAAAAATCAAGTGAGATTTAGTTCTTCTTTTTCCTCCTAAGTTTGATTTAGGGATTTGTAAGATTATGACTCTAAAACCATGATCAATCTAGATCTTGTTGTTGTTGCCTTCTCCCCAATTCTTGGTCCGTGTTAGGTAACTAAAGTGATGTAGCAGGTCGCCATTCTTAGCATCTTTCGGTAAGAAAAACAGCCATAATTCATCCTTAGTTTTGCTGATTAGATCTAGGTAGTATGTTGTTCGAAATTCCTTCCTAAAATTTGCTTGAGGGTTCCAATTTTTGTAGCCATTTTGCTTTAGTTTGTTGGTATGGTGCTAAATTTTTTGCACTATTCTTACTGCTACCATGCCCTATTTCTATAGAAGTTTTGTTGTTAACTACTTTTGCTTCATTTTGGTTGTAAGTTCTACATTGGGTATAGGGTTTCTGCTTTGCTAATTTTGTGATGCTTGCCTCAGTCCTAACTTGTTTTCCTCTTCAATAATCATAAGTTTCTGTTGTTTAAAAGACTACATTGTTGCCCTACTTTTAAGCTACAAAAAAAAAAAAAAAGTTTTAGTTCTTGCAATTTTGAGAAAAATCATGCTTCTAAAGAGTTTAGCTTAGCCCAAAATTTTATTTAATTAATTGTTGTTTTCTGCTCCATTTGCCTAGAATTTCGGGTGCTTTTTGGCTACTGATAATGCCCAGAAAATTCTACTATTTTGCCCATAAATGGCTGTTGTTTTAACCCAAAAAATTATGCTATTTTACTACTATTTTACTGTTGTTTTGCCTATAACTGCTATTGTTTTGCTTAGAAATAATTGCTATTGCGTGTGACTTTTGGTGGTGTTTTAAACATACTCTAGGTATGGTTAAATATATTAATATGTTAATAAGAGTTCAATGGGTAGAAATAGTAAGGATGTACAGGAAGAAATTGTTTCTTTGGATAGAAACTTGATATTGGTATTCGAAGTCAATTCAGCTAAATGGGGTATTTTGTAATCTTGTTTATTCTTTGATGTGGCATAAGTTCTAAGTCACCTTCATCTCCTTGAAGCCTTGAAACCTTGAAATTCTTGCTTGTTGTATAGCTACAAGATGAGGTAAATAAAAGTATGGTAGTGCCCTTGGATTTTAAGGCAAAGATTTTTGAAATCATGTTTCGGATGGTTGTTGAGATGGTGGTGGGACTAAACTCATTTTACACAAACACGAGCATGATTGGTTTGAAATTATTATTATTATTATTGAGTTGAGTATGCCTATTTCGAGTTTACTTAACTGCCCTGATGATCTAAAAGTTAATTGTAAATTATGGTTTTCCTGTTAACTCTTGCCTAGTTTCGTCTCCAATATTGTCATGTTTTACTGTGTCCACTAGTGGGGGGTTTATAAACGCTAGCATATGTCGACATGTTAATTGTAGAATTGGTTCATGTTATACTTATTATCTTGCTTGTGGGATTATACACTAGCAATTTCTGTGCCCGCCAATGAGAGATTTATAAACGCTGATCATGACTTATAGAAGAGATATCTATTTCATTCCCATACTTGTACCAGTTTTATCTTGATACTTGATTACATTGTTAGTATACTTTAACTTTAAATAAGGATTACCCATATTTTACTTATTGATATATCTCATGATTTTCCTTGTCCACCATATCAGGTAGTGAGACTTGAGATGAAGGAACCTAAGGGGAGTGACGAGTTAGAAAGCTAGCCTCTTGTCTTTTGGAGTTAGGTTGCTAAACCAAAAAAAAAAAAAAAATGACATAGCCTTTGGACCATAGGGCATTCTTTTGTAGACTAGATTTCTCCTTGGAGATAGTAATGACTATACTGATGGACTTGTATAAGTTTTGGTATACTTTTACCCTAGCAATGCTTTGGCTCTTGAAAGTCAAATTTTATTTTAAGATATTGATATTAGTTATGGATTGCTAGTTATGAATTAAGCAGGTTTGAGCCTTGTGTATTTGTGGGATCCTCTCACAGGTGTATAGCGTGTGTTTCGCTCCCAATTCTAGGGCATGACAAGCCCACTTTGATCCAACGAGCCACACAACTACAATAACAACAGTTGCCTACTTTGACCCAACCACCCTCATAAGTGCAGCAATAGTAACCCCTATTGCTTGATTAGGACCTTGGTGATAAGGCACAAATAGAGGAAGAGAAGGATGTGGAGGAGGATGCGGAGGAGGGGGCTAAAGAGTGTAATTTAGAGGCTGAGCTTGCTACTAAGTTTTCTCAGCTTGATCCTGAGTTAGATGTTGCACCTAAGGAAGAGCTATCTCATGCTATCCAAAAGACAAAATGTGGCATGGATAAGGAAGATGAAGCCTCGGCAAACTCGAGTCAAAGAAAAGTGCTCAAATTAAATCACCATTGGTCATTTAGCAATGAGAGAATTGGTAGGACAACAACAATTATATGGAAGTATTTTTATATGATTAACCTATCCTTTTTTTATTTAATTGGCCAGAGGAAAAGAAGAGGCTTGCTTGGGAGATGTTCTAGGTATGAAAATGAGATTAAATATTAATAGATTTTGATATAAGTATTACAAATTTCCAATTGCATTCTCCCAAGCTTATTTGTTGTGGCTTTGTTATATCATTCATTGCATTATTTGAAGCTTACCTGGTACAGATGATATTGGTGGCAAGAACCATACTTTTTATTAGCTTTCTAAAGTGAGAGCACTTAATTAGTACCAAATTGAAATGGTTATTACAATAAAAAGCAAAAGAGTATTTTGAACTATTTTCTTAGTCCAAAACTTGAATAATTTTGACTTTGAAATATTTGAGATCTTAATTATTGTGATGTTGATGCTAAGAATTTGGTTTGGGTGATCATGATATGGATGTGTTTGATATTTTAAATGTTTTTTTTTTTCTTTATGGTTAATAAGGGAAAAGTTGATAGTTTAGACAGAACTTTGCCCTTTAAAAAAAAAAAACAAAAATAAATACAATATATTATTAATTGATTTTCATATGGATGAGTTTGAAATAGTTGAAATCTTAAGTATTGTGATGTTGATGTTTAGAATTTGGTGTGGGTGATCCTGATATGAATGTTTTTGATATTTTAAATGTTCTTTTTCTTTATGATTAATAAGGGAAAAGTTAATATTTAAGGCTTTTTTTTTTTTTTTATAAAATCCAATCTATTATCAATTGATTTTCATATGGATGAGTTTAAAATAGGGGAAAATTACACTTAACCTACTTGTGGTTTAGGGTAGGTACACTTAAAAACCTATGGTACTAAAATATATTACCATCTAGAGCAAATTCAAATGTAAATATGTTGTGCTTTAAATGAAATTTGTTACAAAATATTAGCATGAATGAAAAAAAAGTGAAATTCTCCACACAAGAGGGGATTCCCATTTCATGCTTGAGTTCTTTAGGATTTTAATAAATCCTTACTTTGACTAAAGTAATCTCAACTAAAGGCTTTAATTAAATGGTTGTCATGTTTATCTCAAGACTCCTAGCTCTTGTTTCCCATCTTCCAACTTCAATTTGATGCTAAACAACTATTGGTAATTGGATTTGCATATTTTAATTAAGGGAAATTTAACAAATCCCAATGCATATATCTCTTAACAAATTCTTTTACATGTGTCAATCCAATATCTTGGCTTTTTCATTCCCTTTTCACAAGAAGGAGTTGGGGTCCCTTCTCTTCCCCACATTCATACATTTAGCCCCTAATCTCCAATTTAAAAGATGACTTATGGTTAAAATGCATTTGTTTCCTTCATGATCATTTAATTTAATTAATGACAAATTCTCCATGCCTTGGCATTTAAGTGTGAGCCTAAAAACCAAATGCATGCCTTCACAAAGGTACCTTTATAGTTTTATTTTGACTTTAGATTTCAACAAACCCTTGAATTATGCTTGAATTTTGGGTCATTATCTAGAAGAAGCTATGACTAGAGTGTAACATATTGTAAAAAATCAATAAGCTTAATCCATATCTTACAGGTTTATTTTGGTGCAGAAACTGTATTTTGTATTGCTAGGTGGGAAGGCAATGTTAATGGGGAAGGACATTAGAGGAAGTAAGAAAAAAAGTGAAATTCAAAAAATAGGCCTTTAAGTTCACATTTTAAAACCACAAGTTGTTGAGTATATTTATCTTAAACCACAAATAAATTAAGTGTAATTTCCCCTTAGAAATATTGAGATCTTGATTATTGCGATGTTACTGCTTAGAATTTGGTGTGAGTAATCGTGATATGGATGGGTTTGATAATTTAAATGTTCTTTTTCTTTATGATTAACAGGGAGAGAGTTGATATTTTAGAGGAAACTCTACCAGTTTTTTTTATAATATCAAATCTATTGTCAATTAATTTAACTAATTTTAATATTGTAGAAGACTTATTGTTGGGAAGAGGATGGTGCTCATGTCTACTAAATTTGGAGAAAGCATTGCTAAAACCATTTTTGGAACAAGCTTCATCTAGTTTGAAAGAGATGGGACACTTCAAAGAAATTACCTGAATTCATACATAGAGAAACCTTTAAGATTTTGCTAGCAAAGTGGAAGTGGGCGTTGGATGAACTGAGCAAAAGGGTCCTCGTGTGACCTACACTACTGGATGCATTTCAGTTGGGATCCATGAAGATTGATTGGTTAGTATTATTTGCCTTTTATGTATACTTTTATGTATAATGTTGAATATCATAAAATTTTAATTAATTCTATTGATGTTTTTAATAGCCCGCTAATATGCCCAATGTGCCTCCTGCAATATGATGAGAGGCTATTCCTCCTGGAACAAAAGGATCAAAACCTTCCACACCCCACGCTGGACTTACAGGTTGTACCTTTCTAGTTAGTCCATAAGGATCGAACGGCAGTTGTCATAACTCAAAATTTTTAAATTGAAATTTTTATTTTAGTTTTTATCTTAATTAATATGTTTGGGTTTTACTTTCATTGTTAGGTTTTCGAGAAAAGGGAAATTTCGCGAATAAAATGTGGGAGAAGAAAGAAAGGACTCAATTGAAGAAATCAAAAGTCGGGGGATGAAATCTTTGAAGCTATAAATCTGGCCCATTTCTCAAACCCATCTCAAATGGCCCAACTCCATACAAATTAGCCCAAACCCAACCAAAACCCACTACATTATCCAAACTCAAATACCAAACCCACAAAACCCAAAAAACAAAAAACATTAAAACAAAAAAGAAAGGAAAAATGGGGAAGGCATCTCAAACCTTCCCCTTCCTCTTCCATCTTTACTTTTCTCTCTCCCAAACTAGCTTTTTCCCCAAACCAGCTAGCGCCCCCTGTCAGCCATCATCGGCAATCATGCATGCCTACACCCCCACTTTGCATGCCTACGCGCCTACACCCTCCTCTACCCCTAGCCCAGATCCTCTGCCTCGCACCCAAGCCTTGCCCTCTTTCACCTGCATGCTTGAGCCCCACTTATGGCAATCATACCCCCCTACATGCCTAAGCCCCACTTCCAGCAATCATACCCCTCTTGTATGCCTCTTACACCCCCCCTCTCTTCTGCACCGTGCCCTTGCCCTTGCCCTTGTCGCCTGTGCCCCTGTTGCTACACCGAGCCTGTGCCTCCTGCACTCTACGCCCCAATCTCACGCCCTAATCCCACACCCCTACCTCCTGCATGCTACAATGATGCCCCTACCTCACCTAAAAAAAAAAAAGCACATACCAGACAAAATCGGCATCATTAGTGATGGATGGAGCAAGTTTTTTTTATTTATTTCATTTTATTTTATTTTTTTATTTGGGTATATATATAGAAAAAATCAGATGAGGAAGAAGGTCTTTGGTTGATTTTGGAGTTAGATTTTGGGGGTCTCTGTCTAGTTCTTAAGAGTAGTAGAGGGTGACTTCGAGGAGGAAAAAGGGGGTTTTTCTTTCATCTGAGTTTGGGTATTGCCGGAGGTGGCAATAAGAGGAAGATGATTGTTGTAACTCCCAAAGCTCATTGAAGGAGATTGTGCATCTTCTGGGTTTGTTTATTTTAGGTAATTTTTTTATCAAAGAAGATTTTTGGGAAAGGCAATGAGGGAGAGGGTTGGAGCTTGATCCCCTGGGTGGGATCCCTCCCATGATTCTGATTTGTTTTCTTCAAAGATTTTTGTCGTATTTGTTTTAACTTCTTTAGGTTTGACATGCTAGAATTGTATTAGGTGATGATATTGTGAATGAAATCAAGGTTGAATTTCATGGATATGAATTTGAATGGATGTTTATTCGCTTTCTTTGTTTGTTTTATTGAATGGCCAAACAAGAACCTTAAATTCCTTTGGTTTCTGTCCAGATTAGACCTGGCAATTTTTTACCCAACCCGTTAACCCGCCCGTTACTGCCCGTTTAAAACGGGTTAGGGTCATATATTTATGACCTGTGACCTGTTAATGACCCGTTAAGAGAACCCGACGAGTCACGGGTCAATAACGGGTTGACCCATCGCGTTAACAGGTTTGACCCGTTTACCTATCTAAAAATTTAAAATTTTTAAATTTATTATTTATTTATTTTGTTTTCTAATTTCCAATTCCACCTAAACCTCTAATAATTGACTAATATTCCCTAATTAACTAATTGATTCTCTTGACTCATCATCTTCTAAAAGTAAAAATAATCCCACTCCACTCATAACTCACCTCCCGACCTTTCCTATTCTTGCTTGCCCTAATACTCTCGAAGACTCTAACTCTTCAAACTTCAAACTTTTCTCATATTCTTCAACTTCCATAGTCCATATAACCTTTGACTTTCAAGTTTTGACTCCACATTTTCTCTTTAGTCTTTAACATTATCTTAGACTTAGATCTTAGTTTTATCGAGTCACCGTTGTGTCCACTCAGCCTTTTCTTTTTTTCTCCTATGAGTCCGGCAAGTGCTCTTTTTGTCACCAACTTTTCTCTCTAAAAACTTCAAGGTAAGTTGTTTACTTACTTATGCTTTTGAGTTTTCTTTCTATTCCAAGTAAAAATTTTACTTGATTTGCTCCTTTGCTTACTTAGATGCATTCAATTGATTATTTTTTGAAAGTAATGACTAAAACAAATATGTTCCAATGGGGTTTGTGTTTTTTGGTTGTCATGTTATTATTGCTTTTTTTTTTTTTTTTACTATTGAGATTTATAAGTGTAGTGTTCTTAAATTTGATTAACACTATTTTTTGAAGGGAAATAAAAAAGGTGATTATGAGAAACTATAAATATGTATATATTAAATTAATGGAAAAAATTATTTTTATAAGATATTAAAATTTTTTTTAAATCTTTTGAATAATTTTATTTGAATGATAATAGGTACAAATTATAGAGAAAAAAAAAATAATTGGGTCAACCTACAGATTGACCCGTGACCCGTGATGGACGGGTTAGGGTTTGCCTTCATTGATCCGTGACCCGTTTTAACCCAACCCATTTTGACCCGTTACCCGTTCTGACCCGACTCTAACCCGACACAACCTGCCCGTTTGCTAGGTCTAGTCTAGATTAAAATCTGTTTTTGCTCATTTTAGATGGTGGGTTCGTGTTTCTGGGTCCGGTCAACCTGACCCGATCCAGTAAGTTTATCTAAAAAAAACTAAAAAAGGGTAAAAAAATATATAATATAAATAAAATGAATGAATTAATTAAGATAATTAACCTAATTTATGATTAATAAAATTAAGTAACTTTAATTAAAATAAATTAATCATGTTTATTAATCTTAATTTAAGATACATATTTAATTATCTTGATTAAAGATTGATAATGTGATTAATTAATTTTAGTTAATTTTAATTAATTGTTAAATTAATCATTTAATTAAGTTAATCATCATAATTAATTAATTTAAATCCTTAATTTCCTTTAATATTAGTTAAAGTCAAAATGACCTTTCTTCATTTCAATTTCACCCAAGAGTTTTATAATTAAGCAATTTAGTCCATAGGTCTCAACTCTTTCTTTAAATCAATCCTCCATGTTTGTGAATTTAATCAATTCAATCCTTTATGTTTTGAATTTAATCAATTCAATCCTTTATGTTTTGACTTTAATTTTTACTTGTGTTCATTGTGCATGCATGTCTTTGATTTTGTCCATTTTAGTCCAAAATGTTAAAAATGTTGCAATTTGGTTTATCTCTTTTTCAAGTTTGTTTATTAAGACCCAAATATAAACATAATGAATAAGTAGAATTAAAAGCCCAATTTTAAATATGCAACCATGTTTAAGCGGAGGATTGTGAGGTGCACATATGCCCTTCCTCACTCCTAACCGAACCCTCGAACCCCGCTTTCTACGTAGACCCGTTTTCGGTGACTTGTCTCACCTTATAATTTGGACGAGTGGCAACTCCCACCTTTTTATATTTTACACTTAATTTTTCATTATTTTGAAATTTTAAGTGGTCGTCAACAGATTGGGTACTCAACTGAGGAATCAAACCCAGAATCTTTAGTTTCAACATTCTAGGTTCACGAGGGTCGAACTAATACTTTAACTTTAGGGAATTTTTCAGCTCTTGATTTTCTTTGTTGAGTCTTTGTTGGTCTTTGTCGTTTGTTGCATGTGTTTGCTGTGTGGTAATGGTTGCTTATTTGCCTTTTGTTTTGGTGGTTGCTTTTATTGTTCTACTTTCAACTAGTTCTCTTTCTATATCTTGACACGCATCATGTCTTGTTCGCATGTTCATGCATCATATCATCTCGCATGCTCATCTATCATTGATATTACATACTTATTCACCATGCAATATACTTACATGCCTACTCGCTTGTGTGTGTATGTACTAACCCTTTTGCATTTGGCATGGGAGTACTAGGTGAGTCCTTTCTTGTTGTGTAAGTAGGTTTGTTTGTGGATGCTATATCTATTGGGTGCTTTACATGTTTTATTCGCTTGTTTACTTTGTCTGTTTGACGTGGGATATATATTGATATTTTTGTAGTTGCCATTGTGCAGGTTATTGGAGTGTCATGCCCCTTTGCACACACTCACTCTCATTTTGCATTAGGTCCGTGTTGGAGGTGAACCCGACCTCTAGTTTGAATTGTTATGAATTTGGCTTGGAAGAAGGAGCAATTCTTCCCGCTTTGAGGAGTAAGATCGGTCCCCATTAGATTGTGTCCATTGGTTAATGCGACACTTGATGATGTAATATCATCCTGTGTATTAGCTTTTGGAAATATCTCCTATTGATTTTGAAAGGATAAATGGTTGAGAAGGCCTAATGCCCTTTAGGAAAACATGTATTGGCCTCAGAGAGATACCAACCCTAGGACATGTTTCCCTTAGCATCCCACCTGTGAGGCTAGGCGTCCTATGTTTAAGGGACAAAAGGGGCATTTTACTTCACTAACCTTCGTTTGCACATATGGCAGCTTATTTTTGCACATTCAATGAGGTATTGCATGTGAAGGTATGATTTATGTTTAACTATTTTAGGCCTTGTGTTTAGGTAAGATCGTGCATTAGACATGGATTTTACAAAGGATACAACTAGACAAGGGAAAAGACTTGGGTAAGATGTCACATCTCATTCTATTGCTAAGAAGGCTAAGGAGTCAATCTTTTCAGTCAATACCTCCAAACTCGACTTGAAACTGTTGAAATAAGCTTATGGCTTGTTGACCTTTAGAGAGAAGCATGACTTTGAGGACCGATTTGGGTGCATCGAGAATCTATTGTCAATGGTGCCGGATTGGAACTTGTTCCAAGCTATGTTGAAATTCTATGTCCCTCAATATCAAGCTTTTGTGTTCCCCCAGTTTGAGTTGGTGCCCACCATTGATCAATATCATCACTTCCTACGGTGTAGTCTTGCGGTGGATTCTTGTACCTTCACTCCTTAAACATAACATATGAAGTTCACACTAGAAAAAGTTCAAAAAATGTTGCAAGCTATGTGGGGGTTTTCATTTGAATTCTCACAACCATTGGTAACAACTAGAGATGATTCTTATGGGTCCGATTGGAATGCGGCGTTAATGGCTTTGAGAAAGAGATTGAAAGGCATGACATCTCCTCAAAGGATCAACTTTGTGGGATTGAGAATTTATGGCATGGTGATCTTCCCTATCTATGTCAAGACCATTGCACCTATGGTGGTAGCTTTGTTTGAGCAATTGTTGCATACTTCGGCATTTAACCATGCTTCTACAGTGGTAGCTGAAAGTTTGTGGCCTATGAAAGTAATCTTGGCTAAAAGATCTGGCCATTTCTCGAGTTGCATTGAGTTATTCATTGAATAGGCACATGGTCACTTGAGGGGTCCTCAATTTGAAGCTTTATTCAGTGTTCTTGTGAAAGATAGAAAGACGAAGGATTGGCATCAATCACTTCTAGCAGCAACTGTTAATGATGATATTCAGTGGAGTTGACATCTCGTCAGTTTGGAAAAGCACAAAGCATTCGTCATCTTGATGACGCATAGCAGTCATACTTTGATTACATGTCTTCCCCAACAATTGTTGACAACGTATCCAAAGCACATGAGATGTGGGAGAAATGTAGGATGCTACCTATATGGAAAGAGAAAGGGACTAGACCATAATATGAGCAATGGAGATTGAGTTGGATAGCTAAGCTTTCTTTGCCACCGGAGGTGAAAAATACAAAAAACTCTACCGTCATGGACTTAATCGTTAAGTTGGAGCTTAGCCATGCTCAAAGATGTCAGCTGCTAGAGAAGTATGATGAGTTAGCTCTTGATCATGAATTACTTAAAAGAGGGAAGGAGTTATCCATTAGTAAGTGGCAGGGTTGAAAGACAAGATTGCCTTTTTAGAAAGAGATTTGGCTGCTAGTAAGGAAATTTGTAGGAAGTGAAAGAAGAGCTTGGAGTTTGCCAAAGAACAAAGGAAAAAGCTGCTACGAGTAAAGGCGGATCTTAAGGCAAGAGAAAAGGAGAACAAAGAGCTTGTGGAGAAAGTGACTAAACAGTAAGAGTTGAAAGGAAAAGTGATTAAGTGGAGGAATGCTTACAACAACTTATTGTCTGATTATGATGCTCTACAAAAGGAACTACAAATAGCAAAGTAGTCAAAGCAAGGGGAGAAGGAGAGCACAACTTGAAGAGCTTGGGGAAAGATGGGTTACTCGGGAGCTTTTGTACAAACAATGAAAACTTGCTTGACTGAATGCAATCTTTCTTCCTTGTCAAAAGTATATCCAATGACGTAAAAGTCATAATTAGGATAGAAATTTTAATTTTCAAGCCTCATATCATATTTTCATTTTATTTGATCTTTGATTGTTCTCTTATTAGTATATTTATTTGGTCATTTTGTGTTTAGTTCTCAAGCCCTTTTTGTTTGAACCATTTGTGATCTTTGAAAAGAAATATGGATTCTTACACATCCAAGACACAACCTGCTACACACAAGGCTTTGTTGGAGTTTTCTGCCTGAAGAAACCATCTCTTATCTGCACCAATTGACAAAGCACAATGAACACCTTCGCAAAGCCAATAAGCAATTGGAAGAGCAACTGCAAAACATGACCATGAACCTGATCTTTATAAGATTGCCATGGAAGACATGTGTTATCAACTCCAAGTTGAGAAGCAAAAGAACCAAGCTCTTATTGAAGTGGACACCGGCTTGCGTGAAGTTGTCATCGACATAACCGCTTTGATGACTTAATTCGAGGAAAAAATGGTAGAGACTCATCACCACATTGCTCAAAGGACCCATCCAATTGAGAGGGGATTTTTCCAACCATTCTTCGACTTTATCATTGACATGTCTAATGTGCTTAAAAGGCTATATTAAGGTTTATGTTCTGTAATGAGTTTGTTTTAGCTTTAAAAGAATGAAGGCTTGTAGCACTTTAAATGCAACTTTATACTACTTGTTAACTTGTGGTTATTTAGTAATGAAAAGCTATGTTTTAGCACAACTCATTGTAAAATTGGTGGATATCTTCGTACAAGATGGAAATGCCAATGTGGGAATCCATATGGAACTTCGAAGGGGAAACTCATGGTTCAATCAAAAGAGGCTAAAAATCTCTTTAGTTTTCTAATTTTTCCTTTTTGTCTTTACATTTTTGTTGATAGCTAAAATTCTTCTAATCATAGCTCCAAGGCGAAAGGTCTTCAAAAAGCGATGTTCTTCGTATTTGCTCAGATTTAGAGTAATCAAAATGTCTAAGGAAAATGCTACTACTAATCTATAGAAATCAGTCGTTGATGAGAGGGTTGATAAGTTGGAAGCTACAATGCAAAGTATGGTTGCTACTCTTCAAACTATCAGTATTACTTTGTCCACTTTGACTACTGGTTCAGTTCCTTCACTTTCATCATTAGTGCCCACAACACCAGCACCACCTGTCTCTATTCCATCATCTACCATCACATCGGGTAATCATGCTAAGGATCCCATGGTCACACAATTGCAATTTCCACCTATTTATGAGAATCAGCCTTTAATGGGGGAGTCATCTTCACATGCTCCACAAATATCATCTTTGCCCTTTGAAACCTCACACCCAACATTAGAGATGAACAACCCCACTTTGTCCACAACTACACCTTTTGCCTTTAACATGCCACATTTGATGGGAAAAGTGCCAACTACTCAAGTTACCCCCTACGTTGAGATATGGAAACTTGCTCTGGAGGATGGGAAGTCAAAAAAGGTCGATCACAAGTTGCAACAGTTGGAAGAGGCTTTGAAAGCTATGTAAAGGCCGTAAGCTTATAGTTCTATTGATTTGGATGATCTTTGTTACTATCTGGGAATTCAGACAAATTTCAAGTTCAAGCAGTCGGATTTTGACAAGTATGATGGTTCGGGTTGGCCTTATGCCCATTTGCAGATGTATGCCAGGAAAATGGCATTGTATGCTAATGATGAGAAGGTGCTCATCCATTATTTTCAAGATAGTCTCTCAGGCTCAGCAAATATTTGGTTCTCCAGTCTTGATAAGAAGATTCGCACTTTTAAGGATGTTTATCAAGCTTTCATGAAGCAGTATGAGTATAATGAGCTTGGTCCCTACAAGAGATAGCTTGTAGAGAATCACCAAGAAAGGCAATGAGACTTTCAAGGAATTTGCTCAACAATGGAGATCAGAAGTAGCTAAAGTTATCCCACCCCTCACTAATAGTGAAATCTGTTCTCTCTTTATCAAGTCAACTACTGGAACCTTTCGTGCATGGTTAGCTCCTTATGTGGGATATACTTTTGCTAGGCTAGTGATAGTGGGTGAACAAATTGAAGATGGACTTAAGACAAGCATAATTATGGACTTTCAAGCCATCCAGAGGTAGTTAGAGCAAGTCAAAATGGGTAGTGCCAGATCTACTTCAAAGAAGTTTACACCCAGAGGAAGAAAAGAAGATGAAGAAGCTTTGAGTCATATTTCCACTTGTCATGCAAAACCATTTTATAATGTGGCCAATATTCCTTATAAGTGCCAACCTCAATTGCAATACACCTAAGCTTATAAGCCTACCACTTACTCTCAAAAGAGGCCAAACTTTAATGCTCACACTTTGTTGAGGCAGCAATTCCCATCTACAAATAGGTAAGTTCACTAAGCTTCTAATCCCTTATGGTGAGGCGTTGAAACAATTAGTTATAGTGGGTTTATTAGAGACAGTGCAAGTGAACCCTATTCAACCACCTTATCCGTACTGGTATGATCCGCAAGCTAAGTACAAATATCCCAATGTGGTGGGTCATGGTTTTGAATACTATGCAACTTTGAAAATAAAAATTCAAGATCTTATCGATGAAGGTAAACTTCAGTTCGATGTTAATGAAGCCAAGAGTACTCCGAACATACTTGAAATCTTTTACCCCCTCACGATGCAGGACAATGAATATGGTGCCCTTTGATGAAGTTGAAAAGCCCATGTTAGAGAATGCTAGTTTTTGGTCTCTTGATGAATTGTTTGCCATTTTGACAAAGTATGATTTGATTCAGCCGATTGCGCAAAGGAGCTGGAATGTTTCGCTTGCGATGATTGATGATGCCTTGGTGTGTCCTTACCAGTCCAATATGAAGGGGCATGCTTTGTGAGATTGTGAAGATTTTTAGAAAAAGGTTAAGGTGCTACAAGCAATGGGATCCTTAAAGTTTGTATCTGCTCAAGAGTTAGAAAAACACATAGCACAGTTTGAGGAGGTGGTTGTGAAAGATATCACTAATGAGGTCTGTTCTGATGAGGAGGAAGATAGTTTTGGCTTCAACTACTTTGGGCCAGCCAACATGATAGATCCCAAGGAATGGTGGATGAAGATACTCGTTGAAAGGGCATTTATGGAGAAGCACCTCAACTTTCATCTTGTTCATCATGCGAAAGCTCCAATGGGTTTGCATGAGTTTGCACCTCTTGAATCAGTGAAAGAAGAATCACTATGTGACTTATGGGGAAATTTGACTATAAATGCTCTAGATGAGGAAGAACTGGAATTTGATAGGGGAATTTCTCTAGGCAATGGAAGCTCTCAAGCGAATTGAACAGCGAAACTTCTCTTTGCAGCTTTAATCTTTGAGTAAAAGGGTTAGCCTCTAGTAGTTCTGCTTGTGACTACATGAAGGGAGGGATTCAACAAGCACTTTTATATTTTCTGAAATTTATGTTATCATGCTTCTAGTATTCCCATGCTTTTCTTTCAATGAAACATGTTGCAATCTTACCTATCATTATAAAAAAAAAAAAAAAATCATCATGAGGCAACTTTACTTGAACTTTCATTATACAAGCCGCTCTTTAATGACATATTTTATGAGGTTATTCAGTAATATGTTCTTACCTTTGCTTTGCTTTATTATCATTTGGCCATTTATTTACATCCCAAATTTTCAGGCTTGCTAATGATGAATCTTCAAACAATGATGCCATGCCAAACTTTGTATATGAGATGGATGATCAGACTTATAATGAAGAAGACAATGAAAAGTCTTGATCCCTCTCATGAACTAACTCAAATGCTAAGAGAGAAAAAACCAAAGCTGCAACCAACTCAAGAGCTAGAAACCATTGATCAAGGCACTGAAGATGACAGAAAGGAGATAAAAATCAATACTCAAAAAAAGAAAAAAAAGAAAAAAAAAAGGGGTCAATAGTCTCAACTTGTTTGATGAGAAAAGATTGGCAGCTTTTTGTCATGGCCAATGTTATCAGCAACGAATGGCAACTACTTACAACAAGAAGGTCAAACCTAGAGTGTTTCATCAATAAGATCTTGTCTAAAGGAAGATTATGCCAAGTGAAAGGGACCCTAAGGGCAAATTTGCACCTAATTATGAAGGGCCCTATGTTGTTAAAGAAGCCGTCTCCAGAGGAGCACTCTTGTTGAGATATCCAGATGGAATTGATTATCATCAACCAATGAATGCCGATATTGGAAAAAACTATTATTGCTGAAAAAAAAAAAGAATTAGGTTGAAAACTCAAAAAATAATCATTCAAATTTACAAAAGCAGAATGATTTTTTTTTTCTATTAACCCACATTAATGATCGGAGAAGTGAAACGAGAGACGTGAGGGGAATATATGGATTTTGAGTCTTGATCCTTTCTTTCATCATAACCTAACCCCAAGCCATGTTAAAAGCTTATATGAAAGTCCTTATATGAGGATTTAAAGCTTTCTCTATCAAGAGACCAAATAAAAAAAAAAAAGAGAGAGAGAGAAAAGAAAAAGAAAAGAAGCAACAAGGCTTCTGGCAGTGGTAGTTGGAAACTTCCTTATTCTAAGCATAAGAGTTAGTTCATGAAAAGGGGAAAGATTTGAAGTGTCAATATTCAGAGAAGGAATGAGACTCTCTCATGGACTAAAGGACTGACGGGCAGAGTTGCAAAGAAAACATGATCTGAAGTAATGATTTATGGTATAAATATCTTGTAACCAGTTGCATCAAAATCTTGTATTATTGGTCAAACTTCTTTTTGTCACTATTTGAAGTTGACCTTTTGATCATCCTAACCTTGCTTGAATCTAATGAAATAAATCTTTGCAATCATTCTGTTCGCATTTTACTCCAACCTTACCTTTTATTCAGTACTGGGAATGCTAGTTGAACATGAGGCTTTATTTCAATTAATATAATTGTTTATCTAATCAAAATCTCTTGATGAATTTGAGAGGTTGGATGAGAATTACAGGGAGAAAGGAAGCTAAATTCAATAGCTAAGGAGTCATCCATGCTAGCTGAAATTCCAATAGCAAATGAAAGTTCAACTTAATGGGGCAATATTTTCAAATATCTCCTTATGGGAAACAAATGAGATTCTACCTTTGGCATTCAATAGCGTATACATGAATATGAATCTATTAAGCTACTACACAAAAATGATCATAAGATTGTTGAGCACACAACACAATGAACATAAGATTATAAAACCATTTCTTACCTGGTTATAAAACTGTTTCTTGCCCGATTATAAAATCGTTTCCTGTTCGGTTATAAAACCATTTTTTACTCAGTTATAAAACCATTTCTACTCAACTAGCTCGGTTATACAACCGTTACTACTCAACTTGCGGTTATAAAACCATTTTTACTTTACTTATTTGGTCATTCCACTGTTACGGTTATAAAATCGTTTTCACTTTACTTGTTCGGTTATTTTACCGTTGTGGTTATAAAACTATTTTTACTTTACTTGTTCGGTCATTCGACCATTGCGGTTATAAAACCATTTTTTCTTTACTTGTTCGGTCATTCGACTGTTGCGGTTATAAAACCGTTTTCACTTATTCAGTCATTCGACCATTGTGGTTATAAAACCATTTTTACATTACTTGTTTAGTCATTTGACCGTTGCGGTTTCTTAACTGTTTTTACTTTTCTTGTTCTATTTATTTGATTGTTGCGGTTTTCTTAACCGCTTTTACTTTTCATGATCAGTCTATACTATCGTTGTGGTTTCTTAGCCATTTTTACTTTTCTTCTTCAGTCATCTGATCATTGCAATTTCTCAACTGTTTTATTTCATTTGTTCGGTCAATCCGATTGTTGAATTTTTTTAACAGTTTTTACTTTTTTTCTCGGTTTATTCGATTGTTGCAATTTCTTAACCGTTTTGTCTTATGCGTTCAATTAATCCGTCTTGTGGTTTTCTAGTTGTTTATCTCATTCGTTTGGTTAATCCAATTGTTGC